GATATACGCAGGCGAGATCCAGTAACTACTTTGCAAAATGCCTACCAAATTACAGCTGTAACTTTCAATGACACAGCTGAGCAGGTTATTGGTGGAGGAATCGATAATGACATTAAGGTAATTTTACGGATGGCTGAAGTTTTCAAAAAGATTATAACAAATAGTCGTTTTTTTTTCTTTGAGTGAATTTGGTTTTCTGTAAATTATCCAACAACTTTGCTTGATTTTAGGTGTGGGATCTACGACGAAATGAACTTGCGTATGTAATGCGAGGTCATACTGATACAATTACTGGTTTATCGTTGAGTCCAGAAGGAACACATGTTCTCTCCAATGCAATGGACTGCAGTTGTAATTTGTTTTGCTACTTCTTTCTTTTTACCGATGTTTTCTTTATTGTGTAGTCAGAATCTTCAATCTTGAAGACATCTGAAAAGGTTGTCTATGTTCCTAATGGTTATCTGATAAATAAACATATATATATATTTATTTATTTATCTATCAAGACTTTATCGAAGCATTGATATATTTGCCAAAGGGAAATCGGTGGAGTTAGAGTAAGTTGCAATTATTTCAGCAAAAATCTGGGATATCAGACCATTTGCACCCGAACAACGATGTGTTAAATCGTTTGCGGGACATCAGCATAATTTTGAAAAGGTTTATTCTTTTAGTACTATAAGGGTTTTGTGTTTGTTTCATAACATGAAGCTATTTTCCAATAAACTGTATTTGTTAGATTAAAGTATCAGTGAACAGTATACATTGTACTCATTCTAGTTTTTTTTTTTTTTTTTTTTCATTTCTTATTTAAATTCTGGAGAAGATAGATCTATAAAATTTGCAACTTTCACTTGCAGAATCTGTTGAAATGCGCCTGGTCACCTGATAATCATCGTATCAGCTGTGGTTCCAGTGATCGTTATCTTTATGTTTGGGATGTTTCTTCGCGACGAGTGCTTTACAAATTGCCTGGTCATCAAGGGTCGGTTAATGCAACTGATTTTCATCCAAAGGAGCCAATATGTAAGCATTTTTCAACAACATATGCACTGCTTCTCAAATTCCGTTACATTTCAAAACTTCTTATTTTATTAATATGATTTCGAAATATGAAGCTATAAGTCCAGTACCATATTGTATACTGATGGAACTAGGTTTTTGAATGCAAATTTGGTTTTATCTGGACCCTTTTAATTTCAGTGTTGTCAGCAGGAAGTGATAAAAAAATATATCTCGGAGAGATTGATAACCAGTGATCTCAGCATTACACGACTGTCGTTTTTTCTGTTGTTGTTTTTGTAAACTTGATAAGGTTTATTTCCGTAAATTCATTGTATTTATTAGAAATTGCTTTACTGGAACCTCTTGGATTATTTATGGCTAAATATGACTGACTTTTTTGAATTCTGATATTGTTGACTGAGCAATGTTGCTTTCATGTAAAAGTAAGCGTTGATCTTTTCCCATTCATCATATAAACAATTGCATTGCATTCAAAAGTTATGTGCAAAAAATTTTTTTCTAAATAAAACTTTAATATTTGTTAGAGACGACTAAAACATATTGTACAATTTCTATGGTATATTTGGTAAGACACTTTGTTATGGAATGTAGAAATGTCAGTTTTTTTTTTTTTTGAGTTGCTGGTATGCATAAATTGACATTTAGAAGTATATCTGCTGAGATGAAGTAAATGAAATAACTTAAAAAAGTTTAAAATAAAAAGAAAAAATACCTATAGAGTTTTGACTTATACAGTATGTTGATACAAATATCTGATGATATGTAAATTTTATTCCGATTAAAATTTAATCTATAATATGTATTGCGGTCATTACATTTGATTTAAAAAGAATACTAGTTAGGAAGTGTCTCTAACTATATTTTTCTTGTGCATTATTTATAAACAAGTGATGAATAGAGGGTCATCGATTCACTTGTATTTATATTATGCAAATTCTAGGACAGTATGAGTAGAAATGCTGGTATACTTAAGCAGAATGCAAAAGTATTCATTTCACGATCGCAAAATATCTTCGAAAATTTAGCGTTTGAGGAATGGCTGTTGCGGAATCATAAAGCAGATGGGCAGAGTGAATCGATGTTGATTTGGAGGTATATTTTGTTATAAGAAATATTTAATGAAGTTTCAAAAGATGAATTAGGAACAGAGTGGATTTTATCTAATTAAAACTAATGGTTTTGGTGGTTTTGTATTTTGTAGCCAGATAAAGGAGCCAAATTATCATGAGGCAAATTAGCATGCTTTTTTGGTTTTTCCTTTCTTGGGCTTCAGTTATTTGGACTTGGAATTTAGCTTCATCCTTGTTAGTTTATTCTTATATTTGCTATATTGGGTGATGTTCAATCGGAGGTTAACTACTTCTTGCTCTAAACTGTTCTTAAATACATGTATCATCGCAAGAAATGAGAATTCACGTGAATTTTTAGCAACAAGCCAGCAGTAGTTATTGGACGACATCAGAATCCATGGCTAGAAGCGGATTTAAACTGCTTAAAATCTAACAATATCGAATTAGCTAGACGTCACAGTGGTGGTGGAGCTGTTTACCACGACTTGGGTTAGATGTTCAAAATTAGCACTAATGCTTGAAAAATTAATTACACTTTATCTACTTTTCATATTCGTCCGGTATCATTTACATGTTACGTAGTTTTCAGTTTTCAGGTAACCTTAACATATCCATATTAACATCGTATCAAAGGCATGACAGAAAGAGAAATTTATGTGTGATAGCTGAAGCACTCAGTCAAGAATTTAATATCAAAGTACTTTTCCTTTCTTTCTTTTCGAAGGTATTGGTAAATAAGAGAAATTACGGATTTATAACAAGGATTGAGGCAAAGTTCAATTAAAAATGGAAGACGAGCTCAGTTTTTTGAAATTCCAAGCTAATGAGTTGTTATGAGCTTCACTTTTTTAGTAATTATTTTGTTCTCGTTATGCTGTATTTTGAATTTGTAATATGAACAGATAGAGCCGAATGATCGCGATGATCTATGGCTACAACCAGGCCAACGAAAAATCTCAGGAACAGCAGCACGAATTGTTCGGCAAGTAGCATATCACCATTTGACGTTGCTTGTAAATGTTGATGTTGCTATTCTTAAACGTTCTTTATCGTCTCCTTTTCGTGTATGTTTGCTTTTAAAAAAAAAAAAAAGCTTGAAATATTAACCGAAATTTCTGTTTCTTATGAATTTCAATTTCAATACTTTACGATTCATGAACATCATCAGTGAATGCATTTGTATGCAATAATTTCTGTGAGATCTTTATAGAAGTTGAAGTCTTGTGTTATAAAAATTTACAAAAAAATGAAAATAATATTGTTTAAGGAAATAATGTTAACAAGTGCTACTCGAAGTGTGCAAGCACCAGCAGTCGGTTATTTAGCGCAAGAAATTCCTGGTATTACAGTTGAGAAAGTGCAGGATGTAGTTATCGAATCATTTAAGAAACAGTATTTGGTGAGACACATGTTTTATAATTGCATGCAGGGACATTTCTAACATTTTCGCAGTTTGTGCAGTCCCAATTCTATTTCGGAACGAAATTTATCATTCCAGCATACCGAAGTGGCTACGATTTCAAATGTAACAGATGAGGAACAGTTTCCGGGTGTATTGGAATATGAAGATGAGTTACGAAACTGGGAATGGATTTACGGAAGAACACCACAATTTATTTTACCACTTTACAGTGACCGAATAAGGGTCGAGCATGGTATAATCACCGAAAGTTTGGAAAATCAAAAATTAGTTGGCAGCCGATTACCGCACGACGTAATACAGACCTATTTAGGTTTCACCGTTAAACCTATTCCTGGAATTGACACTACCAAATATCTGGCTGAAATGAAAGCTTATTTACGTGAAATTCCGAAAGGTTATGACCCGAAACTTGTCGCCCTAAATGCTACCATAATTGCTGCTCTTTTTGGTGCTTTAATCTATCCTCTTTATGCTTATTTGATTGGTGATAATATTGTAACTGAAAAGAAACAAACTGTTTAAAAAAGTTTGTTTCATTTATATGCTATTTACGGATGTGTTTTCCATTCCGGAGACACTGTATGTTTCATTCAAAATGTACTCAAAATTTGCTTACAAGGGAATTGTGTAAGTAATCATAAAAAACTTGAACGTTTTCTAAAAAATGCTGAATTTGTAAAGATATATATTAAGACATTAATAGACAAACAGACAACAATAAATTTATATCAAAAGCATCCGTCTAAGACATTTCCACAAGTCATTCAAAACTTAGATTCAGGAAGCTCAATGGACATTTAAAACTCAGGTAGCATATCAAGTTCGGCCAAATGTCAACGTTAATAATCCCATCAGTGCTATTTCAATAAGTTTATTAATATTGTGCAACTTCATAAAATTTAGGTCATAATTCTTTATTTTCCCTATTTTATACTTATTGTTATCCCATCCTCCCTCTACTATTATTTTCATGAACACCTTTAAAATCGTAATGTTTTTAAAAAATTCAACAAAGTTAGTCGAAGATTTTCCTCATGAACAGAAATGCTTTACAAGTTACACCGTCAGTCTGATGTACCACAATAAATGAGATATAGAAAAAAAAAAAAAAAAAAACAACATACTAAGCAATATATGAATAAGAGAATGGAATTCAAAGAATATTCTCCACGAAACGATAGTTGACGTACCCGTAGTAGTAGTAAGGAATAGTGTTTCTCAGATCAATATCTAATAATATAGATACATAACTCATTTTTCCCGAAAATAATATGCTTAATATGAAAATACAAACATAAAAATAGTGAGTAAAGAAGAACTTTACTCATTACTTAGTAAAATATAAAAGTGTACCGTGATATACCATAATAAAATAAAATCATGAAATAAACAAAGTTTGACATCAATAAAAAAGAAAAGATTGACACAGAAAGAAGCTCAATGTTGAGAAACCTTTATTACAACATTTCCTCTTATCGAGGTTAATATATCAAATGTCGTAAGCTCAAACTGGTACAAAATGGTGTGATAATTCCACGTGTACAAAAGTAAAAGATTAATCCGCAAAAAACTGAAATCGGAAGAGCTGGTAAAGCTTTACGGAATACAGCCAACAGTATCAGTGTGAAACATAAACCCTAAAAAATGCATACTCACATTTGTATAGAATTTAAAGTTTTATGTTATAACGATTCTTAAAATCCGAATAGAATTTATTTACAGGATTGAACAAACCTTGCAGAGCTCATAATAATATCCGAAGAGTTACAAAAATTTGTGATACGACTGAATAACAATCAAAGCCATTTCCGGTTCGCTTTTTTACTCATTAACATGTACAGGTAATCACTTCGTAAAACTTATGCAAATAAGTTAATGTTTTTTGAATATTTTTTTTAAGTAATCTACCTTACTTTGAGGCGAAATAAATGTTCATAAATATATTTATAAGTGAAAGTAGAGTAACTCACAATAAGAATTGCAACATAGCAAGCTACTGTTGTATTCCAATCACCATAACTACTTGCTTTTCCAACCAATACACTGTAGAAGATAAAATCACCTAAGCCAAGCTTGATACCTTCTAAAGAAAAATACTGTCAAAGTTAGAAACAAATATAGTTCGTCCTTTTGAAAGATTTGATCAATTACATTTAACAACTATTTATCATTCAGGTTTTTTATGATGCTCCTAAATACTCCACTGTTTTTCTCGATCTCTTCCAAAATGTAACATTCCTACTAAAACGGGCATTAAGGTCCATAAAGTAAGATTAGTCAGTGATAATGCATTCTGGGCAGAATTTCGATGGCACATTTAAATATGAAGTTAATCAATTATTAACTGATTTTCAGAAATTAAATCCCAGAAATTTCATACTTTCATCTGGAAATCTTCCATTCTGCAGTCCAGCCGGATTTACTTCAGTGTTTTGAACGGTTACCCTTTGTGTTCCACCACTTTCGCCACCCTTATTAAATGATGCAGCGGTTCGACCCTTTCCGATATTTTTGGAACTGAAAGCAACTTCAATATTCAGAAACTCTTTACTCAAATTTTAAATTTTTAGTAAGAAACCTACTTATTGTCTGACTGCTCTGTATTCAAGCCAGCATTTTCAACGCCTTGATCTAAAAAACAAAAAAAATTTATCCAATCTCAACAGTACAGTTAATAACAAATTTCATTTATAATGCTTACTAATATAAACTCAGAAAAACATTTACATAACTTTTTTTTTACAGACTTTACATAATGCAGGTGTTTAGCATCTGAACTACGTATTTCGCGATTAAACAACAGGATTAAATGATGATAGACCATTAATCACGCGTGCACAATTCAACTTAAAAGAACTCTTCATGAATTTCGCAATTCAATAAAAAGCAAAATTTTCAGCAAAAGATTCTGTAAAAACTTCTAATAAAAGGAAATAACAATGAGAGAATACTATAAATAAAAAATGGCAAAACATCACACTGTACCATTGGTAGTACGTGTCGGAGCAAATCGTCGTATGATCTTTCCCTGAGGGAATCCTCGCTTTTCGTTTGCATCATTAGCCGGGAGTAACTCAGCCGTTGATGGTAGTGAACCGTTCGTTGAACCGGTAGAACTTCCTAACAAGAGAAATAAATTCATGTAGGATAAAAAATCAATTAAAAAAGGAAAAAAAAAAAAGATTTCCACACTTCATGTAAGTTAATATACTGGATAACAGGATTTTAAAACAGAAAGTATACCAGGATTACCAGACTCCGACTGAGTATTTCCTGTAACACATGAAGTATCTTGTTCCATCATCGCAGTGCCAATTAATGTGTACGCGTAAAGCAAACCAGCTCAATTAAAAAATGGTTTGAAAAAAAAAATAATTTAGATCAGGATTTATTTCTAATGCCATAAGTTGTACAACTCCGAGAAGCTAATGTCCACCAACAGCACACCCTTCTGTGCAATGATATTATCATACCTTCTCAAGTTTTTCAAAGTTTAAAGCTGAAATAACATTTTAATACTCACAGGAATATTATAATATCTTAATACCCGAATAGAAAATTACTCACAGGAATAAATAAGTGCTGGAAATATCGGTTCATTTCGTTCTTGAGCAGTTTCGACAAGTATCCGTAATGGTCCCTTTGGACAAAGTACAGCAACAAGATCCCAAATAGAAATTACGGCAAGAACAGTCCATACTGTCCACTCTGGTAAATATTTGATGAAAATGAGGGCCATCAGTGCTGACATCATTATTAAGTAGCCCTAAAAAATTAAAACTTCACTGACTTTATTACTGAAGAAGAATGGGGAATGAGTTATTTCGTCGTCCAACGATTAAATTACTTAATAGATTCGAAACACGGAATAATGACGTAAATGGGATGTACAGAAGGTAGGGTAGCGACAGTTATAAAGAACACAAATGTTTTTTTTACTATGAAATTAAAAGACCGTAAATACCATAACCGAAAAAAAAAAGTAAGCTATCATTTGTTTGAACTTACATACCAACAAGACATTAGATGTAATTACTGGATAGAAAGGAACCATAACACTAAATCCACCAACACGTTACGATCACTAGTTAACAAATCCTTTCCACAAAAAAATTTTCAGTCATTATAAGGTATATTAAATAAATAACTGACAAATAAACAACATCTTAAATAAACACCTGCTGCATTCTTAAAGGACCTTTCCAATGGATGCAAATCATTCCCATTACACCATAATTCCAAATAAAAATACAAATTAATATATAATCAACTGGTACATTGTAACTTTTAAAGACTTCTCTGTAAAAGAATTTTTTAAATAGCTTACTGATGTTTTATTCGGTAATCACATCACCTTGTACTGTGCTCAATTCTTGAGATTAACTCAACCACTTTATTGAGTTCATTTAAGGATTAAAGCAACTATTACTTTGAAGCTCTTATATTAGATGAAACACTTACTGCAAGTACATAAATGTGAAAAGAGACAGTAATATCAGACTGCTCAGTATCAACCACGCACTAATGACCTGAAATTTAAATATAATTGCAATATGCAGTCTATCTAAAAGAAGTACTAATATGCGAGATTCCATTCTGATATTACAAACACAGTTGTACATCTACAATAATCAGCGACGCAGTTAATGAATAACAGATAACATTCATATTCTTTCATAATCAAAATCAAGCGATAAAACAAACCCGATAAAATCGAAATTTGTAAAGAAATATTAATAAAACAGTCATCGTCACCACGACTCCCAAAATAATGAACGCGTTTCCGAATGACATTATTAATTTTTCACCTGTGTTATCAGTTTCTTTGGTAAATGGAGTGTAAATTCTGAAAAATAGAAAGTTAAAAGAATTTCGTAATTTAGTCATATAAGTGCTTTTATATAATGATTTGCCGCGCACGTATGGTAACAATAAGTTTCCGCATAAGCAACAATTTAAAATCTATAAAAGTTCAAAATAACTCTGGATTTCCAATATTATATAACTGAATTTTCAAAACAAATGATAACATCAGTTGTTTTACTATTAATGAACTATAAAAAATACTATTTTTGACTGTTTAAGTTTTTTAAAATTTATTAGAATTTCTGAATTCGTTAAGCTACATTAATATAATTCACTTATTCACAACAATCTTACAAATATTGGCCATCTTTGCGAGTGTAATAACCAACGGTGTTCATTGTAAATATAACAAACACCATGCAAATGGAAACTGGAACAAATAGGTGAATAACATGCTGTGCGCCATATTTGAATTCTGACTCTTCTTCGTCATCATTTGCTTCTTGAAGAACATAGAGAACATTTTTCAGCACGAAAAAACGAAACTTGAAAAATAAATAAAAATGTAAAAATGGATGGTATTTATATCTGAGCTGTTTAGTAAATGCTCTTTTTCTTTGTGATTTGAAACGAAAGACTTTTATCTATCGAAAATTGATTGTAGTCTAAAATATTAATCTAGCAAAACATTACTAACAATACTTTTTGAATTCTGGATAAACAATTAAACTTCTAGAATAATCTGCTAGCTTAGTTATATATTTTCTTCTGCTTTCATCACTGGTAGCATATCATAGTCATACAAGAATTTCATTCAAAGTCAAAGACTTTACAAACTGTTATTTTATTTTAAAATAGTATAAAAAGAAATTAGGACCAAATTTATACTGACATTCAAATATGAGAAACTTCCTACAATTTATAAGCAGAAATCACATAAACAGACATTTCTTTCATATCATTTCTCCATATAATTATGATTTCCATCAATATTTGCGTCCTAACAAAATCATACCATGTGTTGCATTTTCAACAGTTTCAGATCTTGCAGTATCTCTTCCTGTATGAGAATGTCGTGAAGGGTATTCCTTATTCGACTGCAAAATTATCCACTCATTTACCTTATCATTTACAATAATTTCATATCAAACTTTCTCAACTTGACCATTTATCAGTACTACTGCAATGATTAGTAGGAAAAAGTGTGGATAAAGAAATCGATTAAAAGTCTGGGAGAGAAAATGGAATAGATAATGAAATAGAAGATAGTCTAAAATCGGCAGTATATGCAGTCTCATTCAGATATAAACTTAATTTGTATCGAAATTGTTTAGCCAAGAGCCTTATAAATTTCACTTCTTTTTGGAGACAAGTATTATCTTTATAAGTTCCTACTTGTCTCCTCTCTCTATCATTATAGGTGATAAAAGCAAAAACTACCAATTATATTCCAGAGTGTGCTATTGAAATAAGAAGTCACCTCAGTTGGAATCATTTAACAAATCAATAACTATGTGGTAAATGATAAATAAACATGATTAAATGAACTAGCCTGAATTCTCAATTCCTGTTCCGTTTTCGATTTGATTCTTTCAGTCTTATTCAATCCTGATGCCGTCTGGTGTATTGATACTTCTTCACAAATGTCTACCATCACTATAAAATGATAACAACACAAGTAATGCAAAGGTAAGGGTTTGTCGCGTTATGGTATCATACTATTTTAAAAAAAGATAAAAGGATTCGATTATCGACATATAAAAGGACCCGATCAATAAGCATAAAATTTATGTATGTATGCATTAGGAGTACATGACGTAGATATCACAGGAAATAACTTGGAAAGATAAAATATGTGCGTACGTTAACATTATTCCTTATAATATCTAAAGCTAAAAAGAATCTACAATGAATTGTAAAAGAAGAATGTAAACAGATCTATTGTTTTTTATTACGCCATACCTACGTGAGAACCCCACTTCTACCGCCACCACCTTACTAGTTCTTTTGACACCCTGAGACCGAAATATTTCATTAGACTACACTTCGATAGCCTACGTTCTCGCTGTTTCCCACATTCCTTGTATGCTGTACCCTTTTCGCGTATTACGTTTGTGTGGGGGGCGTGGGTTTACGCTACAGATATAACCAATAAGGTTTTTTACGTAGGTACGTAAAAACTACCGCTACATTTGTATCATTATAATGTTCACAACGCGCGTATATTTACTGGTCTTGTGATTGATTAGTTATAGCCACACATTTACAGTGCTTATGTAAGGAACATCTTGAAAGTCACACCAGTGGCTTACACGTATGTCATAATTTTCGCATAAAAGTCTCATTAAAATAACTGAAATAGTTATAGCCACATTTGTTGTTGTTTGTGGTAACGTTATCACGTATAGCGATAAGGATCATATGCAAATTGTACTTATAAGTGATAAATGATTGTGAATTGATCGTTGATAACTAGTAGGCCAGGCAATTGGTTAGCTGATATATCAATGCCTAATTAATTTGGTAGTGGTGGCCAAGAAATAATACCAGTGACAGGTAACCGAAGAAAGAAAAAAAGAGAGAGAGAGAGAACGAAAGAAAAATGTTAACTAGGCTATCGATTACATTCAAAAACGTGTCAGTTGTCTTGTAAATTGTACTTAAATTTAAACAGTGAATTTTCAGATTTACTTTAATATTAAACTTTTATAATTCTTTCTTATTTATTAATACAATTTTTGTACAATTTTTATGGCATCTATTTTTGTTAAACTCATGCGTAGCATTAATCTTTCGACGTGGTAGTATAATAGCATAATTTTTTGCATAACAGTAGTGTAATACTATTTATGATTTTATCAGTTTTTTTAACTTTTTATTCCTTCATATGATTACATTTGCAAAAAATATGTGTGTTGTATTAGTATCATTGCATATGCTAATTTTAAAAATGAGTTTTGTTTGATAATGAATTTTTTGTTTGATGAATTTTGTTCCATAATAAGATCTGAGTCATTTTTAATATGATGAGATTCAATTATTACGTAGGATCAATGCAGTAATAAACATTACGTTATTTGCGCATAATTATGTATTTCTACAGTGTTGTAATAAAAATTTTAACTTATGGAAAATTTGCTTCCTAGGTATTAAGTCAAAGGTAATGATTTATGCAATGATAAGTATGATATAGGATGATTGAACAAAAAATTGCATGAGAGGGAAACTACATTTTTTTTAAACTGAAATTGGGAATTTGTTAAGTTACAAATTAGTGGAAGCTAATATAGAATAAGTAGGGGATATTAATAAATTAAATGTGGACTGACCGAAATGAAATGAAATTTACTTTGCCAGATGTGGTTTTCTCTTAACATATTTAATGCTACTGATTTCAAATGAAGCATAATTTAGAATGTCATAGAATTAGCAAAATTTGGATGACATAAAATGGGTTTGAAAATTGCCATTTAGTTTCGTTATCTCTAGCTATTGTTAAATTCAAAACAAGCGATAAAAAAGTGAAAACAAATAAATTGGAACTTTAGACATTATTTCTATCAGCTTTTTAAATAATCAGCGACAAACTTACATGCAATCTGTAGATTGTGATGTGGGAAATTAGTGCGTTTGATCTGGCTGGAAATTCGCTAGGTGATAAGCAAGGTTTTATTGCCACTTTTAATTAGGGAAAGATTTTCGATAACAAAAATCTGATTTGATTTACTTTTTATTCGTTGATTAACGACTTTAGCATGACCAAATGGAATCGACAAGCGGTGGAAATTGAATTATTAAAAATGGTTCATGTAATCACTGATACATATCAATAAAATCACTTGACTTGAAATTAATAAAATAAAAAGATTTCAATTACTTGCTGATAAACCTGCACGCAGTGTTCTAGATAGTAGTTTTTATTCCCAAACTTCTGAATTTATATGATGAAAGTGATGTATGAATCTGAAGTAGTAGAAAAATAATGATAATTGATTTTTTCTTTGCAATCAATCTAGGATGAGTATTTTTTTTTTTTGACTAAGAAAGAAAAGTGTTTAAATTTGGTAACCGATTGCCGGTTTTTACACATTAGTCGGTCTAATAACATACCAATATTCCTTTTTCGACTAGTTTTATCTCATTTAACTCGAAAAGTCTACTTCATACACTTTTCCGTTATTTTCACTACATTTCTGGAAAATTTTCCAATCTTATTCAACAGCAATGTAACACATTTGTTTTGCTCCGTTTGCCCTTTTCTTTGGAAAGTTCAAAAAATTTTTGCCGCTCTCTTTGACCTTTTTCAGTAATTAAATTAATACATATATTACGTTTTCCTTTATTTTTAGTTCCCCTATTGTGCATTGCTGTTCGTCCGTTTATTTATAATTCATTTCCATTCCTTTGTACGCTTGTCCCTCTTTTTTTCGGAATTTCACCGTTTTCATGGCAATTCATCATAGATTTCTTTCGTTTGTGGGCTGCTTTCATGTAAGGTATAGGGGGGGAGGAGTTTATGAGGTCAAGACCTTTGATGGTGAGTTGTGGAGTGCGATTGGAGGATTTGAATTTGATGAGATGAGAAAGGAGGAGTTAGGAGGTGTTGACTGTTGTGAATATTACCATCACGTGATCGTACACGCCCATAAGGTAGATAATCATGAGAGACAGAAGATGAGTTTTGCGTTAGTTGAAGTCGGAAGCAACATGGGACAAGGTAGGTACTCTTATCCTCTTTTTTTTTCATATTTGAATTAGGATTATTTTACGGCAATTGAGCTAAATTGAAAGTGCTCTTTGAGATTGGTTTTACAATAATTTATTGAGAATTTGAACAAGTTAAATTAATTAGATTTCATTTAATGCAAGTTTAACCACTTAATTCGTCTTAATTGATTTAATGGATATTTGAGCTTGACTAATAACTTGGACAAGTATAAGTAATTCATTTTTTTTTTATTAAAAATTTAAATGAATCATATTCCACTTAATCTGCTATGTAAAATTAATTAATTTTTTCTCATAAGGTTTAATAAGAATTTTATTTTTTGAATGGCTGTTTTCAGGAAGTGCTAATTGTGCGCAACGATATGGTTATCCGTACACGGAAAAAATGTGTTTATTGTTGTGCATGTTTTTCCTTTTGGTATTAAATAAATCTACGTTGTGTTACGCGGTCACGAAAAATTCAGGGCGTAATGGACGTGACCTGGGTCATAGCGAACAATACATCAAACAGGTGCAAAATGATAAAATTTTTCGTGATTTCCGGTTATATCCTTAATTCACAGTGCAAACAGAACTCGGTTAATTTTCGGCATTCCCACACTGATTTTTCTTGGCGTTTGTAAAAGGACAGAAAAGTTGAACTATCTTAGTATTAGGAAGCATCTATAGTTAGCATATGTCAGAAAATGCTGCACAAGCTTTAAACAATTTTTTAACGGAACAGATCTATGAATGTAGCTTTTGAAATGTTATAGTTCAGGCCCAAATTTGTCTCGAAAGGACTACCGATATAATGACGAATAACTGTTCGTGAGCGACTTCTAAGTGTATTTTGAGAAGACAGTTTTAGTCAGTTTCAAAACTCAACAGATTTTGTTTTAGTCAGCAAATGCGCAACATGAAGTAAGATAAGTTAAATTTGCAATCTATAGTTGGGATAACTGACTTTTGCGGCTTGAAAAATTGTTTAATTCAGTGAAAATAATATTTTAGCTAGTTTCGGTTCATTAGCACAGTTATTTTTATTTACTGTTCTTTATTCATGATTCATTTATTATTTTATCACCAGTGTCATACTATTGCGGCCTATCTTTTCTGAGTCCGTTTAGTAGTAGGGAGATCTAAAATTTATTTCCTGCACTTTTCGTCGACTGTCAAAATTGAATAAAAATACATATCGAATTTTGCAGATATTTTATACCCATGGAAACTGTATTCATTCTGATTGGGCTTGTAATCAAGAGTGTCGCTTGGAATATGTAAATCGTACTACCGGATTGTGCATCTCACCATCCCCTAGGGAAACTTGTTTCGGAATACCCATTCTCTACAACTATACTTTGGAAGCTGCAAGTGTGATTGCTATATTACCGAAATATGAAATTCTCAGCAAGTTCCCACGGTATGATTGCTTGTTTTTAGCATATGTTTTCTGCATATCTGATGCAGTATATTTTAAGTAAAGTTAGATTTCATAAAGGTATCATGAAAAGGAATTATATCCATGAAAAAATTAACTTCATGGTGTAATTCTTGTAAATCCTATAAATATGTTATATCTATTGGAAATTCAACAGAAAGAAGATACGAAGAACCAATCAACAACATCGAAAGATACAATAAATGAAACTGATAAACGAGAGGAACCCATAGCTCAACGAACTAGAAATGTTACAAGACAAAAACAAACTTCAACAAAAAACGAAGAATGACTCAAGTCCTCCCATCCGAAATCACCAAATTAAATTCTCCGTTGGGATTTCTTGTTTGACATATAGAAGTACCATCAAATTGATATTTTTCAACCAATATTGTTGTTAATTCGTAACTGATTTGTAGATGTTGGTCGTCATTAGGACCCTTGCTATGTGCAGTGGCTTATAGGCCATGTTCTAACCGAGCATATTTCGAAGTTTCGATGGATAA